TATCGCCGATGACAAGATCTTTCCCTGCACTCGGGAGTTTATTAAACCGCCTTCAACAAGCGATCGTCGACAGATTGTTGAGCTGCACTCGGACACACATACCACTTTTCAGGTAAAAGGCGAGTTTTAAATATGCACATATATCCTACCTACTTAATAATAAAGAGTAGACAGATAAATTTGGTTTAATTTGTTTTGTTTTAAGGTGGACCCCAACACCAAACCAAAGACCAATGTTGCCATCTACAACATGCTGCTTGACCTGATGGCCCTCGAGGAGCAGGTTAAGGAAACAGTTCGACGCTCTGAAAAGGAGGTTCAGGCCATCCTATCCCTGAGGGAGAGTGAAGAGGCAAACCCAAAGTTGGACATTGGGCTGTTTGATACTCTGCGCAATCAGGAAATGCACAACCTGCGCATCGCCCTGGAGGAGGCCGCGGAGAACGAGCGAAAACGCCAGAAGGAGAAGGAGCTGGACTACCTGGCACCCTACCTCGAAATGAAGGATGCCATCCTGAATGATCTGACCCGCGAACAGGCCTTCTCCGTGCGTGAGGCCTGTCTGCAGGATCTGAAGGAACGCCTCATCAAGAAGGCGAACATTATTCAGGTGCGCTTCGAAGGTGAGGTGCAGGCCCTGCAGCAGAAACAGCAGTGGTTCCAGCTGAACCAGATCAACCTCACCAAGGAGGATGAGCAGGCCTACTTGCAGTACTGCAACGATGCCATATTCCGCATCACCACGCTGGAGACCATGCTGATGCGACACAAACAGACAGCACCGCAAAAGTACATGATGCTGGAGAAGAGACTGCGCTCGGATCCACGGTTGGCCGAATTCCTGCAAAATGGTTGAGACGCTGTGTGTGACCGGGTGTGCGCATGTCATGACATGGATTTTTGCACTAAACTTGGTTCATGTATTGTTTGTAAAGAATGACGAAATGCTTTATATATGTGTGTGTGCGTGTGTGTGTGAATACGTTCTTCAGGTAACTGTACAAGAGACAAATGAAACTACCGTATATCCAACAACCTTTTGACCAAGCGGGAGAGGAGGCAGTTATGGGTTTGTCTGTCAGGCTTTTCATTGAGATGGCCACCGGTCGGTGTTGTCGGGGTCACCAATTCGTGGGGGTTTATGTAGTGGTTTTACTCGGATCACTACAATCATCAGGTCGAAATCTCCAGATTGGAAGTTAAAAGGCAAGAATCACCAGAAGGAGTGGTTTATTGCATACAGAACTCCTAGTTGCAGTCTCATGTGGTAGTAGCCACAGGCGAAGCCAGGGCTAGTCGTGACTGCGTCCGGCCAGACCTTAGAGTGTCTATTGTGTGGGGTGATGACAGTTGCTTTTATAGGACTTGAATCGAGTTCAGGTGATTTGCTATTGGTGTGATGCAATTTGCCCGAGGTGATGTTGCCTGCAGAAATCTTTGCTGCATCGGCCGAGCGGTGGGGTAATCAAGTGGCCCTTGGGCAGGCGTGCTTATTTGGACGCGCGTGTATGCGCGGGTGTGTGCGCAAGTGTTTGCGTGACAGAGTAAGCTGAGGTCAACTCTCGGGGCCGCCAGAAAGCCGAAGGACAGGGGAAGCTAACGCAGCTG